TACAGAAAAATTTTATAGTCATAAAAAGTCAGAATTTAAACTTAAACTCTTATAATATTCACAAAATGACACCAGGAGTTACTATCAAGGGTTAAGGAATATTGTTGATCCACATTGTAACAGAGCATGTATTATTTTCTTACAGAGAAACTGAAAGGAAAACATTTAATATTTGCTCAACTAAATCAGATACTTGATTGACATGAAAGAAAATGAGAGACACTGATTAGCTGAACTGAATTAAACTGGTCTGATTTGATTGTTTGTTTTGTCATTTTTTTCAGAAAATGACACTAAAGGCATTTATTTATTCAGAGAATTTAAACGAGCAGGAGAAAACTCTCAGTTTGTTTTTAAGTCTCATTATTTAGGGATTGCATCGCCTTAACTTCCCATAAATCGACAGCTTTGGTCTTTAAGTTAATGTTTTGAGGCTGTAATATTAGTTTTTATCATATTATCTGTTACATTAGAGCTGTTTATTGCAGTTTTTTAAACAGATTTTATGTATTTTTATGTATGAGCTTACTTGTTCTAAATACATAAATGATTTTTCCACTTCATCATCATCATCATTACTCCATAATTACAGTTCTTCTCCATATTGCGGCTGGGGATCCTCTGTTCGAGACAGAAAGCAAAGAAAAAAGGAAAAAGCAGAGCAGGAGGAGAATTAGGTGTTTTCATCCATTGATTAATGGCTTTCTAAAGCAAAGCACATCGGAGGAGCCGGCCGATCAATAAATTAACTGCCCAAATTCATCATTTTCTACAACAAAAGCTAATTATTTAGACGGCTGAAGGAAAAGAAAAAACACAATATTAACAAGAGTTCATTTAGCAACGCAGTGTATTCCTGCATGTGAGAACACTGCAGAGCTGCTGTTTACACTCATATTCACCATAAACATAAAGGACGTTAAACTGAGTTTACAGTGCTGCAAAATAATGGAAACAGGTTTAGATTTAAACCCAGCTGTTCAAATTTAAGTGTGGTTTAGTTATTATTAGAAGATAAAAACAGATCAAAGACAAAAGGTAAATATCAGAGTGAATTCATACAAGGGAGCAGATTTATTACTGACAAAATGACCCTGAAATAGAGCCACCATTAATACAGTTACATCTAAGAGTGCTCTAAGAATGGCAGTGTGTAAATATTTCCACATCTGTCGGCTGGATTGCTATGAAACGTTGCTTCAGACGTTCATGTTCCCCTCAGGACTAATTGTAAAAACTTTGTTGATGCTCTGATTTTTCATGTAGCACCATCATCAGGTCAAAGTGGTTCCAATACTTTGGTTTATGACCAAATTCTTGCAAAGCTATAATAACATTCCTATAGCAAATGTTAGCATGCTAACACGCTAAATTAAGACGGTGAAAATAAACATATATATCAGCACGTTAGCATTGTCATTATGAGCACGTTAGCATGCTGATGTTGTCATTTAGCTCAAAGCACTGCTGCACCCAAGTAGTGGAGTAGCGTCATATCATTTGATGTTGAGCTTCTAATGTGTTGATGCATATCCATTTACTGCCAGTGTGAAGGGTTACATAACAATGGGTGCAAGGGTTCTGACCCAGCACACTATCCACAAGAGTTACGTCCATGTTGGACGATTCCACACCAAACAATTTACATCCAGTTACAACGCAGGAAGCATTGTGTCCTCATCCTGGGTCCAATCACATTTGTCCAACATTTGTTGCATGTCAATCTTTATCTCTTTCTACCCATGTTTCCTATAATTTCTCAATGGTTGACTAAAGGCATAAAATACCCATATATATATAATATTCTTGTGATTTAAATGGTCATAAAAACACTGACGGGGCCTTTAAGGGAAAATGTAATGTTTAAAAGGTCCATTTCCACTTGGCGCTAAATGAGACCCTGTTGGTTTGAATCCACGAGGGTTAGTTAGCACATAACTGATGGTAATTCAATTAAAATGTTGGCATGTCCCCTGTTCATTTACACACACACACAGGCACAGGCCCCATGTAACCTTGGTGTGAGACCCTCTTATATATATATAAATATACAGGTTTAAAGCTGTGTCACTTTCATTTACATAGGAGCATGTTGTTAAGGTCCTGCTTTGACATTCAATTAAAACGTTTACATTTCTGCTTAATTAATTCGGCGGATGGCGGGAAGAAAAGACGAATGGACGGGCCGCTTTGACAGGAGACCGATAACCGTGTGTGTGTGTGCGTGTGTGTGTGTGTCCCGGCTGTGTGTTAAGGTCACGGCAGGCTGACTATTATAATTCATCTCTATAGACATGTATTCAGCGGGGACTTATATTCTCTTTTTCAGCTTTATTTCCTGCAGCTGAAGCCAAGCCGAGCTGAGGTGTTTTTAATGCAGTAAAGTGTTTTAAAGCTGTAATACCAGCCTTTGCGGACTTCATTATCTCTCTGTTTATTGTTAAAAACTAACTGCTGCAACTGATTATTGATCTCTGAATGCTGGAAAATGCATTTGTTTGTCAATCAGGGAGAAAAAATAAAAACCTACAAAGCTGCAGGATAATAAAAAGGACAGAAGCTGATATTTGTGATTTACATTGTTGTTTACATTTTAAATTATATTAAGATTGTTTATACATTAACCTTAGATTTGAAAAATGCTTTTTGTACTCATGTATAATACAGTGTTTTTCCATCAGGACTCCAAAGTTTTCCTGACAGTATGGAGAGCACTTTGAAACAGCATTTAGACCATGGTTGGAAATACAATGGCAAGGTTATGTAATTTCCTAATAATTTCCTGGAAAGAAATATGTAATCTGATAGTGCTAAAGGGAAAATTGAAACAACATTTTATTGGCTGTGCTGAGTTTTTGTAAGCAGTTGCTGACTTTCAAAGAATTTTCCTTGAAAGAGCCACATAAAACTTAATTCAGATGGCAATACGTTTCACTCGAAACATATTTTCTGTTGAAAATTAGTTGTGTCATTTCTCGGAATTGAATTGACAAACCAAACACCGGCTCTACATTTAGTGTTTTTCCGTAGTTTCTTGGAAGGCTGAGCTGTATTCAAGTGGTTCACCACTAGATGCCACTGAATCCTACACACTGGTCCTTTAATATTTAATTTTAAACAACTACATCCCCATAATTATGAAGCAGATGTTTTTATTTGTTGCAATCTTTACATGATAGATGATTATTTGTTGAATGTATTATTTAACTTCGCCTTGGTGTTCCACAGATCTGTGTTTTTAGTGTCGCACTGTTCTATATCTTGTTCAAGGTGAAAGCATTGATACTTCCTGCTGTCGTAAGGGATATTGACGCGTTTACATGTGATCAGTTAAAGTGAAAATAAAAAATAAAATAAACCTGATTGTGAAGGCACTGGATTTGAAATGAGTGGATCGGTCTGTATTTAGAGGAATCTGCTCCTCTACACCAGACATGTTTAAATGGCTCACGCACTTGCTTTAAAACCTGTCCACCTTTTTTTAATGGGACAGTTGAATGTTGTGTTTCTATTCTTTAAACTCTCAGCATCAGTTGGTGCTCCTGCAGCTGTGCTCGTATGAGGGTCGAGGAGTGTGCAGGCTGACGGGTGTGACATTCTGCTCGTTCCTACAAACGATCAAACACACTGATGTTACTGTTTCTATCAGCTCAGGATGTTAAAGGTCGACACAAACAGGACTGCTAACCTTTGTTTACCAAGAGAGGCTTCGGCTGAGATTAGAGACAAATCTGTTGTTCAGCAGCTTCTGTCTCATGAGCCCCTCGTGTTCATCACGAGACCGCTTGGAGGGTCTCAACCCACAGGTTGGGAACCAATGACTTAAGTATCAATGGTAAGTTTTTTCTCTCTTATGGACAGAATGAAAATGTGACTTTTGTCTTTGAGAGTGTTGCAAGTTTTGTGTTTTAATTTTAAGGCATTTTTGTATTTGTTAGTGTTTTCTTTAGTTTTAGTTTTAGTTTTATTGTGTTTGGATTCAGAATTTATAGAGTTGTTGTTGTAGATAGAATTTGCAGTTCTCAGAAGAGGTCCAGTTGAAATGAAAATGTCAGTTTTATGGTTTTGGACGCAGTGGATGAAAACACTGCATGTAACAAAGAAGGTTTATTCTGACGGTGAGTCCAACCTGCATTCAGGTCAGCTTTAGTCCAGCAAATCCTTCTGCTTTGACTTTCACTGCAGACGGACAAATACAGGACAAATCCCTTTACATGTTCAGTATTTCAGTGTGCGAACTATACCACAGCTTTCAGGGGAGCTCCCTTTTTCTACTGTCGTGGGGGGTATATTTTTTATCTAAAGTTAATGATATTGGGCCATGCTTCAGTGGTGATGGCAGTATCCTTTAAGTACTTAAGTACATTTGTAAGGTGAATTAGTGATCAGTCACCCTCATGCACACACCATACATCAATAGTAACTTTATACATAACTCAAAAATAGAATTGCATGGCAAAAATTCAAATTCTTAAAAAGTATATTGCAATATCTCCAGGAAGTTGCGATCAGAACAGATATTGAAAATTCAACCAATCCCTGTCTCACAGGTTGCCTTCAGTTTTAAATGAGCTATTTCATTTTAGGCCACAACAATTCCAAATCCCAAATCCCCATTTGGAGGGGCTGATATTGTCAGTATTTTAGAGACCCCTTACAAATTCAATGTAGGCCTATCACTTTATAAACAATGGCTCCTTTATATGCAACTTTGAATATTGTTGTTTCTTTCTCATTCTTTTCTTCTTCTTCTTCTTCTTCTTCTCCCATCCCCTCTTACTCTCCTCTCTATTACTGCCCTTTCCACTCTCTCCTTGTCTCCTCTCCTGTTCTTCTCTTTCATTTTCTCTCGTCTTTCCCTTCAATCCTCTGCTCTCCTTTTTTCACCTCCCCCCTTTCTCTCCTCTGTCCCAGTCTCTCTCTTCCTTCCTCTCCTCTCCTCTCCTCTCCTCAGTAGGCGGGATTTTGGTCCAGGTTCAGCCCACAGGGGGGAGTGGTCTGCTGATGTAGCCGAGTTTGGATCGCTGTTTCCCGGCCAGCCTCCCAGCTGTGACTCGCTGTGATTTCTTCTTCTTCTCCTTCTCCCCCCTCGCTACTCGTTAGTGCCTGCAGGGGCCTGCCGCCGCTCTCTCCGGTTAAAGATGGAGCTCCGGACGATCCCCCCCGCTCTCCTCTTCCTCTGTGCCGCCTGTCTGCAGTCGGTATCCGGCGCGGCTTCACGGACAGGACCGAAAGTCACCGAGAAGGTGGGTGATGATATTGCCGCATTTATTTGCATGAATCCAAAATAGCGTCTTCTCTCCTCTCCTCTCCGTGCACCATCGGCATCTCCTCATGGCTGCTGCACGCGCCGCTTGAGCGTGGATAATAGCACGAGCACGCGCACATATACAAACACACACACACACACACAGAAACCCAGAGACGACGTGTCCCGTCTCAGCTGGGGAAGCCTGGACCGGAACACGGAAACACACTTGTCACATATTTACAGATCTTTCCAGAATATGCCAGATAGTCCACACACACACACACACACACACACACACACACACACACACAGCTGTACACGTGTCCATTCAGATGAGACTTAATACGCAATGCGTTTGCCTGCAGGCCTTTCATTCTCTCTCTCTCTCTCTCTCACACACACACACACACACATACAGGACCTGACCTGACCTTCATAGTAATGTGTGTGTATTAAGTGTATTTCAGGTTGAATCACATGGTTTCATATGAAATCATATCCTGTTATTAAGCCAGAGGGTACAATAGCAAGGACCGAGACCTGACCTGTCAACACCTGCTATTATTGTGAAATGGTGTTAATTAAGCAGGGGTGTGTTAATGTACATTAATATGGCAAAAATAATATTAATAACAGAAGTAATATGATTCACATTGTTTGAGTTACACTCTTATACAGTCAAACTTTAATTCCAGTCAATAGACTTTAAGGATGGGCTGTAGACACAAGACCTATTACAGTGCATCATCTCCATATCTATTAATCACACAGTGAAGTTAAAATTTAAACTGGTGTTCTCTTGAGTGAACATTTTGCTTGTAGTCCATCAGCTTTATTGTCAAACCGGATGAAGGCAAGATACCCAGACGTTTGGGGAATACAGAGTGGTCTGCTGGAGAACATTTGTTCCACTTGTTAACTTTTGATGGACATGTATTGAAGCTGTTCCGCCCCTCACTGCGTGTGTGTTTGTAAAATCCTAAAGTATTTCAGATCTCATGTTGTGACCGATTGTGATTGCAGCCAAATTTAATCCCAACTTTTGTCAGGATGTGATTTGCTGAAGAGATGATAAACAGCATCACTCAGCCCTAATTACAGAGGGGGAGAAGGAACTCAGAAATTGTTGTAAAAGTTGCAAAACCGCAGTACAGAAATACTCTGTTCAAAGTTTTACTGAAGAAAAAGTACTCATAATGTAGAATATGTTATATTATTGGATTATAATTGTGTAGTTATTATGTGTTCATCACTTTAACCTTATACAGGCCTATATTCATGTATTTATGTATATTTTATACGTAATACATTACATTTTCTGATTATATTCTGTATTATTAATCTAAAAGGTAATGAAATATAAAGTACAATATTTATCTCTGAACTGTAGTAGAGTAGAGGTATAAAGTAGCAGAAAATGGGAATTCTCAGAGAACAAGTACCTCAAAATTGTATTTTAGTACTTAAGTATGTACTTAGTTACTATCCAGCACTGCTTAATTTGCAGTTAAATGTGAGTAAAGTATCAAAAGTTAAAGGTACAAGTTTAACATTTTTTTTTCAATAGGCTGAAGTGTGAAAATAGAAAAGTAGGATTATAAAAAACTACCCAAGTGAACGTTTCTTGTCACTTCACACCTCTGATTGACTGACAGCCTGTGTGTGTGTGTGTGTGTCCAGGTGTTTTTTGACATCACAGTGGCGGGTCACGAGGTGGGGCGGATCGTCATCGGCCTTTTTGGGGAGGTCGTCCCCCTCACTGTCAATAACTTTGTTGCCCTGGCAACCGGAGAGGTAGGCTGATGGTGTATACAAACATACACACACAAGTCATTCAGGTATCTTCACAAATAAAAAAACTAAATCGGTCATTCAGAAAATATTGGACACTTTGTACATGAATCACGCACGCAGCGACATCACACACAGCAGCACAGCACACACTACAGCAGCAGCAGACAGCACACGACACACACTATCATTTATTCTTTACAAGTTATGTGTAGGTTTTTGGTCATGCTGGAGTATCCTTTGCCCATTAATTACTTTACTCAGGTGGAAAAAGTGAGAATTGGAAAGAAAAAACATTTTTGTTTGGTTAAAGTGAGCAGTTTTGACTCATGTATTACTTAGATACTGAGCGTGGTTTCATGTAAAATGCTGAGAAACACAGGTGTGTTGTGTGCGTGCTTCGTGTGTGTGTTGTTGTGTTTAGCTCGAACCCAGGCTGGCCCGTCCTAGATGCGGGCTTCAGTTGTTTGAGAGGTTGGTCATCTGGCAAAACGTCCGTGTTCGTCAGGATGCCTCTGACCTGATCAGGAAAAACGCGTGGTGGAGTAGATTTCTGGTATGGAGAAGATTCCGCCAGAAATACACAGAGAGGACTGAGTAGTTGGTGATGCAGGTGGTGTGGCGCCACCTTCCAGTTGCCCATGCCAGCTGTGAGAGGTCCTGCCTCCTGGATCATAAAGGTCCTTGGATGACTCTGTGGGAAGCTTTGTTTTCCCGGTTTGTAGCCGCGGTAACCTTTTCTTGGCATAGGAGACAAGCAAAGGAGAACGACCGTTGCTGCCAGCGAACAGCAGGCTGACGGTAGCGGTAGGCAGGTTCAGACAGTTAAGGAGATCAGCGCCTCCACAGGAGGACTCAGACAGGGCTTAAAGGGGTAACACTAAAACTAGATATGTGCGTCATTTGAAGAACAGGACCTGCGGAGTGTTTAGAGCATTGTTTGCGTGAAAATTTAGTGTACAGCCAGATATGTATTGGAATAGACTATAGAGAAAAGCATTGGAGAGAATTTAGCAGATACCAAACAAAAGATAATCATGAGTTATTATATTACATTTTTTAATTCAAAATAAAGCTG